CCATGTGAAGGGAAGTGATGCTGTGTATGGGCTCCTCAGCATAAGAACCAGAGAGGCAGAGTAAGATGACCTTTCAACTTGTCTTTATGAATGAAAAGTGGCAAAACTATACAGAGTAAGTTACACCTGCTGGAGATCAGACCACAATGCCACCCAGACAGCTTCCAGGACAGCATTTCCACCTAGTTATAGTTATTGGATTTGTATCTGGATAATGAGATCGGGCTTAGGTATTCAACATGTTTGCCAGCAGATATGGCACAGCTAAAACATGAAAGACATGTGTCACATGGCTCACAAGGACAGATGAATCCATCCTACCTAGCATCGTCTCAGGTCCCTCATGAGTCTCTTGATGGGGCTGTTCCTTTTTCCTTTGCACAGGAACAGCTTGTCTTCAGCTTTTGGATGAACGATTTAAGAGAACAATAAGACATTACAAGATGATCTTTCAACTTGCTGGTTGGATGTTTTTCTAGCTGGCTTAGAGCAGGTTCAAATGTGAGCCAGACCACATACATATGTGGTGCGTCGTCCATATCCAGAAAAGTTATGCCAACAATTCCTATAGACCAAATTAAAATATGTATCACTATTATATTTTTTGGCTATTTTACTTTTAAATACATATATACAAATATATAGTACCTGAAATGGAGTCTGGCCAAGAGATTGTTCAACAAAGAGTATTTATTGTACATTCGCAGATCTGGGACAACTTGAGTGTTTTCCTCTGTTTGCCAAGTACAGACAGTGTTCACATGTGTGTGTGTGTGTGCGTGTGGATAACCCCGCTCTCTCAATGATGCATAAACTGGCTCTTATCAGACAGGGCAGCTCTCGTACGTTTTCTCTACCTGGAGTAGACTTGTGTGTGTGCAGGCGGTGATTCGTTGGTCTTATCAGATGAGTTGTTGAGTCTTATTACACTCAGAAGTAAGGGGCTTTGATTGAAATGGGACTGTAAATGAGCATGGATAGATGACACTGAATACAACAAGACTGTTTTGAGTTACAATGAAGTAATATTCTAAAGCGTTCATTTTTTTGTTTTGTAAATATACGTATGTATGGTTGATGTATCCAGCTATAGTGGGATGTGCCTAAAACATCTGGTTGCACATCATCTTTGTTATATGAATGTGTATGGAAGATATAGCGTTACCTCACATAACTAAATGACAACAAACTCCAGTAACCCTTCTGGTGACGAGCGACCCCCATTTGGGGTTCGAGCGAGACCGTTTAGCGTGGCAGCGTGGCGTAGAATGCACTTTTCAGGAACAAATATAATGAATGCTCCACACCAGTGGCGGCTGGTCAATAGAGGGCAATGGGGCATGGCCCCACGTTGAGCCACACAAAAAAAAATAAAAAATAAAAATTATAACAATCGTAAATTATACAAATTGTCAATATTTGTGTTTTTGAACTATGAAATGTACCCAGTAATATGTGTAAAATGTGATATCTGCGCAAAATATATGCTTTTCCTGCTCGTCCTCTCCGCCTGTGTGCTCGTCTGCTCGTGCTCTCCGCCTGTGTGCACGACACGTCTCAGAACGCGCAGCAAGGGGGGCAAAATCGTTTTTGTCCAAAAGAGGCGGGTCTATGAAGCAGTTTAGCCAATTGCTGATTAAAGATATAAATGAGTGACATACAAGTTAGCCAATCAGCGCCCTCAAATAGATTCAGTGTGGGGCCAAAAAGATTTTGCCCCCCTAGCTGCGCGTTCTCGTCAGGAGAAGTCTCTACAGGCGAGCGCGAGCACTACTCCAAGTCTCGTTTGAGAGGAGAACTTTGGCGGAGATTCTGCAGGCCAAAGAGCTGATCCCAGATCAGTCTGACCTCACAATCAGACAGCAGACTAGCAGGAAAGGGAAGCAGTACATACGAAGCTTCTCTACTGTACACCAGACAGGTTTGGCTAGCAAGATGACGTCATGCTAATAACTTATTTAGCTTTTTAAAACAACGGGGACAGATCCAGCACGGACAGTAACTCATCATAGCTTAATTTAACATCAGTATTCATAAATACACTTCATGTTTACTTCTCCTGATCTTTACCTCCTATAACAAGGTCCATCTCAATAAATAAACATGTTCTATTATATTATATAAGTGTTATTTACTGCTTTTTTTCGTGTTGGAATAAATGTTAAATATTTAACTGCAAAGTAGTAATGCGTGTTTGATACTTTAATCTTTTTGCATTAAATCATACTGGGATGTTTGCTGAAATTGATAGGATGGCCCTACCTAGAAAATTTTCCACCAGCCGCCACTGCTCCACACATATTATATACCGAATTAACGAAGAAATTTTGGGCAAAAACATCATATCGGTCGTTTTACACACTGCAAACACAATTATACACAAACTAATATATCTAGAAGACGTACCACAATATCACGTATTTTTCGGCATGACTCGGCGGCCATGCACCGGGGTACAAAGCTGAACAAAGAAACCTTGAGAGGAATCATGAAGAAAAATGATTCATATTCCGTTTTTGCCAGCTAAAACACTGTTGCTACGTATTTCCTGTGTCTTTTACAGTGTTCCCTGGAGAAAGGGAGGTCAGACAAGGCTGGGGGACCCTGGGGGAAGGGATTTCACTTTCGGTGAATCAGTTTTTACGCACGGCGCGTTTCTGGTTTTTTCCTCTAACGATTCTGTCAATCAAACCCACGTTACCACCCCTGTATTCATGAGACTCTGACACGTCTAGAGAGGTGTCATAGTCTGAGATTGGCCAATCATAGGCTGACAAATGCCTCACATACAGGCAGACGAGAATTGATCCGTGGTTGACAGACACAGAGAGGGTTTAGTGAGGCCTCAGGCTCTCAAAATGACACCAAACTGCTGTATTTTGGATAGATTGAACAATATTAGAGATAAAACAAGTGAAATATATCGTTATATAGTATATAAAAATACAATGGAACAGTTGGAACAGCTGCTTCCAAAATGACAAATCAGCTCGACCTCCCTGTACTAAACCTCTCTTAACGTTTTTTTGCTTCACTTTATCAAAGCCAAATCTTTTTATACAGCATTCTGACATGTGCTATGATTTGGGAGAATTTTTAGCTTTCACCTGCATCATTAAAAAAAGATATTCATGCTTTCAGTGCTTTTTTTTCAGGTCAACCTGAAACTTTTCAATTTGAGCTGTGTGCCATCTTCATTCACTATTAACCAGTAACATATACACTATTTTCACATCTGAACAAATCTCACAAGTGTTACCTGTACTATACCATCAAAATTATTAAAAAGGCCTTGTAGTTACAGATTTGCAGTCTTTTAGGTATGGTAATGCAATTTTAGAGCAGAGGCCTAAAAATAGGGTTAAAGAGGATTTAAATCACAAATGCACAATTGACTAACACTTGACAAAATTACAAAGGACTAGAATATTGCTCTCCCACAAAAAAAATGCTTAATACTCCCCACATATGCACTTACTAGGCAGTACAATAAAGTAGGCATAGTCTACAATGTTGACTAAAGCCCCAAATGCCTACATTCAAGTTAACAAAGCCCCTTTGTCACAGGAGGTAGCAACATAAACCAAACGGGCCAAATGTCCTCAAAGCACTCCAACTTACCAAACGATTGATTTATTTCTGAACAAGCCCACAATATATGAGAACCGGGCTCAAGGTTTGGCAAAAGGAGGGGAGACCATACATGAGTTGTAACTAAAACGTTTGTTTCACAAAACTAACGGAAATTTGTCTAAATGTTACAAAAGCAGACAGGGTGGAAGCCAGAGGGAGAGAATGACTGTCCCCAGTTTAGGCTACATCCACACTACTACGCTTTCCTTTTAAAACTCCGGTTTAAAACGAAAATGATCTCCGTCCACACGGCGTTTCAGCACCAAATATCACGTGACTATTCACGTACACTGGGCATGCGGGTGGGTGCCGGTGTAAACAGGAAGTAATAAAGTAGTCTTTAATAATGAAAGGTCGTGTTTGATACTTAAGATCTTCCTCTATAAACTCAAACACATTTTGTGGAAATTTTTTTTTCAGACTTAGTTACAACGCTGCAGGTCTTCCTCTATCTCTCTCACATCAAATCTACTTTAAAATCAACACTTACACATAATGATTTACTAGATTATGGGTCCATAAATGTGGTCAACACACGTCTCTCGCTTGTTTCCTCGGTTTCCTTGTTTTCTGTTCTCACTCGTAGCTCTGCTGGTGGCTGAAGTCGACCGTGGTTAAGTCGAGAGCAGGGCCGTCCTTCAATCGGTGTGTCGGTGGTTCGATCCACGGCTCTGCTAGTTGCATGTTGATGTGTCCTTGAGCAAGACACTTAACCCCAAAAAATTGCTCCCATAGCTATGGTGTGATAGAATCTGAATTGTAAGTCGCTTTGGATAAAAGCGTCTGCTAAATGACTGTAATGTAATGTGATTTTCCGGGAAAGGGTCACGTGATATGGGCGTGACGAATCAGGGAAGGACACGTCGTGACTGCTAAGAACCAATCAAGTAGCGAACACGGGTTTCTACGTCATTGTTTCCAAACGTCCATAATGCGGCGTAGTGTGGACGCTCAGTGTAAACGTAGCAAAAAATATGCATTTTAAAATGGAAACGGAGTAGTGTGGACATGGCCTTAGATAGCCTTCAGCCAGTAGCTGGACTGAATCTCCCTGATGACCTCACCTCACTCACTAGGCTCCTGGAGGAAGAACCTGCTCACGAGTTTGTCTCTAAGGGCAATCCATCCAATAGTTGTTGAGACATTCACCCTGAATGAAAAATGCCAACTGGCTATGAAAAATCAGGGGATCACCAAGATCCCTGTGATTCATCCTCTATCACAAATGTCTGGAAATATGGCCAAAAACAATACAATAATAGATTTTTTAAAAAGCATTCCAGAGTGTAGGAAGTGAACAAAATCTATTATGATGGAATGTTAAAATGGTCCTCCAAATTAAAAAGTGAATCTCTTTGTCCATGCAGGGTAACCAGGACACACCAGCACCCCCAGACCCATCCATGGCCCAGGCTTACCCATCAGCCCAGTTTGCCCCCCCTTCCCAGAACAGCATTCCAGCTGAGTTCACAGCTTCACACCCTCATCCACATCCACACCCACACCCACATCCCCACCAGCACCCAGCAGCACCACAGGACTACACCGGTGTCCAGGCCTCCGTCAGTGAGCATCCACTCAACATGTACCAGTCCTCACAGAGCCACAGTGAGCAGATCGGGTCAGAGTCCGACAGTCAGACGGTCACCGGCACAGCCACAGTAAGGCATCATGGGAGAAGCTGGTGTTTAAATTGGCAAAAGCTGGATTACATAGTTTATTGTTTCTGTAGTGTACCATGTTTTTCATTATTAATTAATTTTAAACAACATGAGCTATATATATCTTGTAACATGCAACAGAGAAATATATAACATACAAGAAACATTGTAGAGTAGGAGCAGTTTGTAGCTTTTGTAGTTTTGCATACCGAGATTATTTCAAAATAAAATAAAATAATTGTACACTATCTTTCAAATAAGACAGAAAGCAAAAGGCAGCTCCCATAAAAACATACAGTAGGTTAACGTTTTGTTAACCTACTGTATGTTTTTTATGTCCATGTTTTTTCCATACTTCAGTGCGCTTTACCAACCCTTGCCTCCAATCCTGCCCGGACCCCATCACAGGTCATCCTATAGAAGACATCCACAAGGCGGGCAAAAAAGGAAGGGGAGGGCTGGTAGTAGTGGTAGTCAATGGATGCAGTAACGTCACCTAGTATCTCAGAAGTCCTGTCCTCATGGTAAGGTTACTATTTAAAACAAATCCACTTAACAGTATACTATTATACTATACATAACTAGTGTTGCATTTTTTTCCAGCATTAAAACCACTATGTCTGTGTATAACTATAACATATTTCCTTCATGAGTTCCAACATTTAATATGAAACTATTACTTCTACTACTACTACTACTACTACTACTACTATAGGTGTCTGCAGCAACTTATTTTCATATCCTGCAGATAGGCGCAGGTTTATGTAAGGATTTTGCGCTTCTTAGTAGTGGTGTGTTTCGAAAGGCAAGCAAACATTGTTAAAAGACTGTTCTCATATGCACACATGTGGCACACAACAGGATAGTGTCCCCGTCAGACTCATTCTCACGGACTGAAAATACTAGTTTGTTTTAGGTAACGGGAGGCCTGATAAGACTGCTGGAGGCAGGGCATGATGCGGATTGCACCATGGTCACGTAGCCCGTTTGTAACTCATAAATCCTTTTGGTACCGAGCGAGGACCATTTGGGGTTCCAGCGAGAAAGTTTAGCGAAGAGAGTGTCATAGAATGCACTTTTCAGGAACGAATACAATGTTGTATACACAGTTAAAGAAAAAAGTCTGACAACAATATCATGTAAGCCATTTTTACACACTCCAAACACAATTCTACACAACTAATATAATCAACTAGAAGATTTACCACAATATCACATATTTTTCGCCAAGAGTCCGCGAGCTACGCACTCCGGACAAAGCTACCAGCACAAAGCTAAAAGCTAACACGGACAACCAATATGTCAGAAAGCAAGAGAATTCGACACAGATTCCAGAGATATCTTTAAAATGTCTCCCCGTGAAACCATTATAGAGCTATGAGTAAACAAGCACCAGAACCACAAACCGCTTTATCAATAATAATCATAAATGCTTCTCACCGTGAGCTGATTTCGTGAAGAGAACGGATAAATTTCCGGTTATTTCCATTCAAATATGTGTTCGACGTATATCCTGTTTGTCATTGAATTGTTTCCTTGAAGAAAGGGGGGTCAATCTAATTTAGGGGAGCTGGGGGAAGGGATTTGACTTTCGGCGTATCGCGTGGTTTTGATTCTGACTGGCTAACGATTCTGTCAATCAATACCACGTTGTCCCAGCTCAATTCTACAGGCTCTGACACGTCGAAGGAGGGTTCATTGACTGAAATCGACCAATGGGCTGCTGAGTTAGGTCTCCATAGACACAGAGAAACTGTAGTCAGATGAGACAGCTCCATGGATGACAGATAGAAACAGGCTCAGATAGGATTCAGGCTTTCAAAATGAAGCCAAACTGCTGTATTTGGATAGATTGAACACTATTAGTGATAAAACAAGTGAAATATATAGTTATATAGTATATAAGATTACAATGGAAAAGCTGGTTCCAAAATGACCACCTGAGCCAGTCCTAACTATAAACCTGAGCCAGTTCTAACTATAAACCTGAGCCGGCCCTAACTATAAACCTGAGCCAGTCCTCACTATAAACCTGAGCCAGTTCTAACTATAAACCTGAGTCAGCCCTAACTATAAACCTGAGCCAGCCCTAACTATAAACCTGAGCCAGCCCTAACTATAAACATGAGCCAACCCTAACTGTAAGAGTTTAAAAAAAGAAAAGAATTGAGCCTACTCTTAAATGTGGAGAGGGTGTCTGCCCCTCACTGTTATTGCATTATGGGAGTGCAGTGCTCTAGTGGGGTAATATTGTACTATGAGCTCTTTGAGATATGATGCTGTCTGACCATTTAGGGCTTTGTAGGTGAGGAGAAGGATTTTAAATTATATTATGGATGTTACCGGCCAGTGCAGAGAGTAATATGATCTATTTTCTTAGTTTTTGTTAGTACACATGCTGCAGCACTCTGAATCAACTTGAGAGTCTTAAGACTACTTTCTGAGTTTCACATCATAAAGTTAAGTTTCACATCAGGAAGTTGCAGGTCATCCAGGTTGTTATGTCCTTAAGACATGCTTGAGGTTTAGTGAGCTGGTTGGTTTCTTCTGGCTTCATCAATAGATATAATTGAGTATCATCTGCATAACAATGAAGGTTTATGGAGTGTTTTCTGATTATATTGCCTAAAGGAAGCATATAAAAGGTAAATAGAATTGGACCAAGCAGAGAACCTTGTGGAACTCCATGACTAACGTTGGTGCTTGGAGGTTTCATCGTTTACATACACAAAAATGATAAATCTGATAGATAAGATACAAACCATCTTGCGGTCCCTTTTTTGCCAATTAAATGTTGTAATCTCTGTAATAGGATGTAATGATCAATAGTGTCAAATGCAGCACTAAGGTCTAACAGAGACAAGTACTTTGTCTGATGCAATTAGAAGGTCATTAGTAATTTCATTTGGCAAAGAGCCTGACCCGGTGGCACTGATGACACGCATTAAAAATAATTATAGAAATAGCTAAACTTCTCTCTGATAGTCTTGTTTTCTTATGTAGGTAATATAGAGGCATAAGCATTACATTGAGACTGTTTCAGAACCAGTTATAAGTTACTCACAGTAACTTTCATGGTTACCCAAAATTACCCAAGACAACATTGTTACCAGATGAACTTTAATAATCATATAGATTACCTTTACAGATAGATTTAATGGAAACAAATACTGTACTTACAGTATTATACTTATACAATTATGTTTTTGTTGAGCTGTATAGTTCGACTAGAGAACATACCCTAAAGGGTCATCCCTCTGAGGCTTACGCTTGTGAAATTGCAACGTCTATTTCTCGTGTCCCAGGTCAAATAAGTACGTTGTTAAATCATCAAATGTAATAGCTGTTCTTAGCTGTTCTTCCATGGTCATTTATTGATTATATTCACCATAGGGGCAAACAGCTGACACATGAAGGACTGAGAGAAAGACAGAGAGACACACACAGTAGATGTTGCTGAAATGATGAGGAAGAGGACAATAAAGCAGTGAGTGGAAGGTTTGATGGTGATGGGGGAGGGAAGGCAGCAGACAGATAACTAAGAGGGAGAACTGATGAGACTGCCAACATGCAGGGTTGTGGAAAATAAATCGTCACACAAGACTCAAAGAACCCAGTACACAGACAGAAACCTGCATTTCTGATAAGGCAGATTAGGAACATTTTGGAAGATGAAAAGGACAGATGGAAAAGTGATTTTCCAATTTAGCAACCTATTGTCAGTGACTGAGTACTACCTGTAAACTGTATCAGCTAACATATTATTTCTACCACAGCATTAAATCAAGACAGGGTTTTAACTCCCTGAACATTGTCTTTCAGCATGTAAATAAGGATGCCTATGAATTTAGATTCAACAAAACACTACAATCATCAATTGTATCATTATATCTTGAATGCCAGATTGATACCTGTAACTGAAAATACAGAATTAATTAAATATTTATTAATCTAACTATTTTTTATTAGCTCAGTATAGTTCAGTAAATTCTGTCAAAAGATCTGTGTGCTGGCAGCTTGTTGGTTTTACCTGAGTAAGACAGAGGTGTTTTTGTGATAGCATATCATAAAGCTGAGTTATGTCTCTGCTGTCATATCACAATCTGATGTACGTGTTCCTCACACCAGACATGCCTTTAAGTATCAACACAAGTAATCAACTTTTTTGTCTCATCACATATACTGACTCTCTGTAAAGTTCATGTTTTTGTAAGTAGCTTACTATAAGCAGGCCCAGCCATGCATTTGTTAGTGGAGTTTCATATTTGACTCAGATAATTATTCATTCTTTGATTACATTTTGAAAGTTCAGAAAGAAAAAGCCTGCCGAGGGAACACTTTATTGCTGTGCAAATAATATCTATCTTTATGCCACGAAGGAGAAAAGGCTAAAGAGCATAAGGCTGAAATGATGAACATATCTATTTGCAATGTTTCCTATGAAAAATCTCCAGACCTGCATTACATTTAGATGAAACCAAAGGCTCGATGTTTGGCTGGTGACCTCTTAAATAAAGTAGTGTCCAGTTGTGAGCCTTGTCTTGTGTGATGTTAATAGTTTCCCCAAAGTGGGAGACAAATAATAATTAGAAATATTTCACAGAGAGACAAAGAAATCAATATTGATTTGTGAAGCTTAAATTTGTCATTTTTTCTTTCCTCTTCCCTTCATCATCTTGTGACTCCTTAGATTTACTTTGCCACTCTTTGGAGGGGCCAGAGTCTTATAGGTTTGGAATCACTGGGCTAAACTACTGAACTGTAAATAGAGCAGTTAAAACTACAATAGCTCCACCCCGAGCAGCTACAACAGTAGAATGCTGCTTATGCAGTGATGCAGAAACAGTCTGACCACTGTTCTTTTTTTGACAGAGTATACTTTTCAAACATCAAAATAGTTCTTACTAGGCAAAACTATGGTGCCCTGTCCCTGAGAGCTCAATGCATTGCAAACAAACACATGCGTGGCATGTTGAAAAAACACTGCAAATAGAGAAAACACAACCGAATACAGAAACATGCCTAAAATAGCATGGTCGGACATGAGGGCAGGCTAAAGATGATTGGTGGAAGAAACAAAGGCAACAGAGCAAGGCTGGCGAGACTAATCCCACACAGGGGATACACAGAAAAAGGAGGGAAAGACAGGAAGTCAAACAAACACAGGCCTCAAGAGGCAGGGGACTAAAGGGGAATCAAACAGCAAACAAACGGGCAAAACCATTCCGGAGGACGGGCAGGACGACCAGGTAGGCGGAGCACATCTGGAGAACGGCAACGGAGGCAGGAAGCAGGACTGAAGAGCAGGACCCTTCTGGATGCCGCCATTAAAGACGAAACCACTCCGGAGGAAAACTAAAAGGCAAAACTGGATCTCTGAAGACTGGATATCCGGACTGGACTCAGCAACAGGATGTCGGTGCACCCCAGCAGGAACAGGAACAGGAATGTTCTGTGGCCCCCGATGCAGGAACTGGAGCGACATCTGCCATGTTGCTGGGCAGTGGAGACAAGATATCGCTGAGCGGCTTGGGGGATTGACGTGTCCTTTTCCTATGCCTCCTTCTTGGGATGGACAGGAGGCTTATCAGCTTGTGGCTAGCTGACTGGGAACTACGAGGCCCTCCCTGGCTGGTGGCTAGCTGGCTGGGAACTACGAGGCCCTCCCTGGTGGCTAGCTGGCTGGGAACTACGAGGCCCTCTCTGGCTGGTGGCTAGCTGGCTGGAGACTAGCCAACTGAGGACCAGTAGGCTGGAGGCTTGCAGGTGGGAGGCTAACCGACTGGGACCCAACAGTTTGGAGGCTAGCTGACTGGGTTGCGGACTGCGAGCTAGTGGAAGTTATTTTTTTGTTTTTGATTTTGGACCAAAATATCAACTATTGACACAAGATATATCATGATTTAATAATATGCAGATTTCCAATGAATTTGCTGTAAACCTTCCAACTTCATAGGAGATGAAACCATCTGAGTTGTATGACTTCAACTCTGACGGCACCCTAAGAATACACATGTTTAGTCCCACTAGTACTGAGGTATTCATTGTCACCTAAAGATAAGTCCTCATAATGTTCACACTCCTGAAAGGATTGGCACATTTGTTTGGACATTCACGTTCCCCAGAAGATGAATACTAATGATCACCTCTCAGAGGTCAATATTTCCACTTTCCAATACTTGTGACAAAATACATTATTAACAAATAACTGTTAAACTATCGACATTCCCATCAGCCACAGCTGTGTCTTTTGTTTAGTACTAATTACCAGCAGGATAATGTGAAACTATCGTGGTAAACATCACCCTCGTTACGACCTCTCAGAGCTGCCAGCGTGTGAGACACATGATACTTCACTATTGAATAAGCAGTTTACCATGGTATTTTCTGAAAACATTCTTGTGGCAAAATGACGAGAAGAGACGACGAACTGAAGTTGCAACCCAGCGCGAAGTGTTTTAATATGCACACGTCAACATACAACGAGTTTAGCAAATCGAAACAAATCCAATGTATTACTTTTCACAGATCACTTTTATAGTCAAAATTCACCCCCCTTAAGTCACTTTCCACCAATCAAACCAGTCCGTTGAACCAAAAACAAAGCACATCTGGTCTCTTCATTATGTCATGTTCTCATGACTTCGTTTGGGTCAAGATAACCTTTTGGCAGAACACACGATTCATGTACGGGAAATGTTTTGGTATGAATTGGAGAGATTTATTACAATTTGTCTGGCGCGCCCTAATCACTTCCTAAGAATATTTTTGTGCAGAATGTGTTTCACATAACAAGTTAAATAAACGGTTTACTTATGAATCCAAATGTGTTCAGTTCAATCCTAAGTTATATGATGATTTTCTTCAACACCATTCAAGCTCCTACTAGGATAAACTATTTTAATTCCAATTATTCTACAACCATAACTCTGGCACCACCCTTAGGGCATTGCCATTTATTTACTGTACAGGTACAGTAGGCCTCTAAGAATTCTGAAAAATATCAATGTTTGACATAAAATCTGTCCAATATGCTAAAATATTGTACTTGTGAAGCATGTAAAGAACATTGCAGCTCCAGCCAGGCGTTTGACTCAATGTTGTTTTTCCTTTTCGTTTTCTTCTTCTCTTATCAACAGATTCCTGAGATAAAATACATGTTTTTTTAACAGTCAGACATTTTTACTCCAGTTTACATTTCATAGTCTCTCCTCTGAAACCCGATGTAAGGAATTGTCTCTGTTTTATATCTCCCATATGTCTGAAACCACGATTCAGCCTGTCCTTGTCTCACATATCAGTTTCTGATGCCAGAAGCGATGGGATGAGATGCTTTGTATCACTGCTTGTTTGTTTGTTGTATTTCTTCACTGCGAGTGTAGGCGGATGACGCCACCAACAAGGAGCTCTGCACAGATGGCAATTGCTGCTGTGTGTGTGTGTACACTCTCTTTCCATATGTGCCAGTATATACTGTACCTAGGCATTGCATGGAAGACATGCAGTCTGCTGGCCTTATGTTGCTTCTTTTCAAGCTCACACACCCACACAATTACACACACATACACAGAGGCTGTATTTTTAGCTGACTTGAAGCCTGGAACTGTTGGTGAGCGAAAGAAAGAGTAGAATGGAAAATGGAAACCATTGTCTTTCATGTAGGATGATGATTTTAGTACGTTTCATGTTATTAGTAAACCTAAGATCCATGGGAACACAACTACTAGAACCAGACGGGTGTTGTTTCAGTACAAATGTTATTTATGAGGCCAGTTTTGGATGTTTTGTATTAAATTGCATTATATCCAATATGTTATCCTCCCTTGTCTTTATGTGGGGGTTATTCATTTCTGAACGAGACTTGAAATAGATTGGTTCTAAGCCAGCTAAGAGACACACCAACAGCTTTTGTAACAAACACACGCTTGCAGTGTAAAAGGAAGCTGTGAAGTCCTCTCCTGTGTGGAGCAGCCATTGATCTCACTCAAACTGAGAGGTAAAGGACAAACACTGGCTGCTGCTGCTACTCTTTACATGTGGCATGACCATCTATTATGTCTGTGTTTGCATATTTCACTTTTTCCAGTTCAAACTTCTTTTTGTCTCATGCACCATTTATAACTGACCTGAGGTCTGATACTGCATTCTCCCAATAACATGAGTTAACAATGTGAGAACTAATCTGATATTAAAGAGAAACTAAACAGACATTTTTTATCTTGAAAATCTCTTCACATATTCATAGAATGCACTCAAATCTCTTGGAATAGGAGTTACATATGTAAGTATGGTTCAATGAATTCTGAACATTTCTATGAAAAGGTGGTCACAGGCAGTAGACATCCATCTACAAAATTGGTCACAATCCCACTGACATGAAGTTAAAAGACAAATAAATGACATTGGAGGTCAATCATACATACATAACTGAAGTTCCGAGTATACAGTATTTGTAATTGCAGGTTTTGTAAAGCTGTATTCATAGTTGCTGGGAGGGCCATTGTACATCTTTCATTTATTTCAGTGTCCTTTGTTCTGTCTTCCAGCAGACAGATGATGCCGCCCAGACGGACAGTCAGTCACCAACACAGACGGTACCGGAAAGCACAGACAGCAAGACCCAACCCAAGAGACTTCATGTGTCCAACATCCCCTTCAGGTTTAGAGACCCAGACCTCAGGCAAATGTTTGGCGTAAGTACAATATCTGATGTACATGACATGTTTTAAAGCACTGTTATCTCTTTGTTTGTCTACCATATTTTATTGTAAATTTTAATATGTTTCTATTTTGAAATGATGTCTTGATTATTGCACTGTTCTTTGTTTATTGTAATGCACCATTCACAAAGTTAAATCCCTTGTATGTGTAACGTACATGACATTAAACGGTTCTGATTCTGATGTTGATTGTGATTTCTGAAATTTGAGATTCTCCAGGATGATGTTTGACAAGACATTTGGATCAACAAAAAGTTAAAATGTTTGGGTTTTAACTTTCTGTTAAATTGATAATAAGAAGAAAAATCAATTACTGATCGTTTCCTCTTTTGTTTGTTTTTACAGCAATTTGGTAAAATCTTAGATGTGGAAATCATCTTCAACGAGCGCGGTTCTAAGGTACGTGGTGTTTCTGTTTTTTTCGAAGCGTATCTTTGAATTGAATTCATTTAACTAATTGATATTTTACTTTAGTAGTAATTGTTTCTGGTCGAGAAGAATCAATCAGCACACAAGTTTAACTTAAAGGAACGGCTTCTTTGTGTTCAATGGATGGTTGCTCTACATCACCAGCTCAGCTAGGCTGATTTCATTTCAACGTAGCTGTACAGACATTATCATCACTGCAATTTATATTTTCAGTAACACCAAAGTTATATTATACACCAGACTTCATCTAGAATGCCAGCATCAGAGATAACCAACCGGCCTTGTCCTTCTGCAGGCCTTCACACCTCTGAAACATACTTTTGATGAATAGGCTGAATTCTAAATGGTTAAAAAACATAATAACATTTCCAAAAATGTTAACATTTTTAAGTATTTTGATGTTCTCGGCCATGTATGGTAACCAGGATTGCAACGTTTAAACAAGTCATGTCGTAAAGATCTACTGGGCAAAGCTAGAACACGGCTACATAGCTAAATGCAGATTATGAACTGTGTCCGAGCCAGAGAGTTGTGTCTGATGAGTACTGGTGTATTAAAATACGCTTCTTAAAACAACATCCTTCTTTTATGCTGAGCCAGACCATCTGTCAAAGATGGAGTTCCTTTTGAATTCCTTAAATTCCTTTGAGATTTTTTTAAATGAGATTATTTGCTGTTTTTGTATTCTTAGTTTTGTCTGATGTACTTTGCTTTTGGATATTACTGTATTTGTTAATCTTTCCTTTGTTCTTTTGGTAGATTTATAATCTAATCTTTTACAACTTAAGAGGAATGGATTTGTGTTACCACCTTGCAATATGGGACTTTTGCAGTAGATGATTTATGTCTAACTTCATTGTAGGCAATTGTCATGAACCCCTGCTATAAAAGCAGACATTTATTATCAAGACATGCTATTAACCCTGGAGACCTGAGTTCACTGGGGCAGTGTCCGTATTGAATGGGAGAAAAGAGCGGGAGGCTTCAACAACAATAAATAACAGTTGTGAATAAAATGTCTTTCAAGCATTATTGAAATGTTTCCATTGTTCACATGAAAAGCTTTAATTCACTTTAGTTAATTGATGTTCTCTATGAATTAAAATGACCATTCACCAAACCCTTCCCCCAAACAGTGATTGCTTAGCAACTGTAACAAGGGGCGACACGCCTGTCAAGCTTTGTATTTCTGAATTAGCAGTGGACATGGGGCTCTAGTAGAGCCATACGTATAGAGTGGTTTCTTTTATTCACCTTCTACAACCAGAAAACTAAAGAGCAAAAACATAAGGAATAGAATATACAGTATGGGGTGTTTATCTGTTCTAACATAAGCCACTAACATTAGCATGTATGGCTAACTAGCTTACTACCTGCAGTCTGCCAAGGTACACATCATTAAATACCTACAATATTTTATGAGGTTACAGGGCAAAACCCCCATTCAGTACTGGAGCATCCACTGCATGGGAGATGGTTCTGGATTCTGCTATATCAGAGTACAGGCTAACTTTAGGAGCTCTGTCCTGCTGCCGATTATGTAATCCCCAAGAACCCGAGCAAAACTTGATGTTTTGTCTGGAACATGCAGCTTTGGTCTGGGTCTTTTATCATGCCCTCTGGTGCATATTGAAGACCAATTAGCAGGGTCCCCATTTCAAAAAGAGGCAGCCAAAGACAGAGTTTTGAAGCATCTCGCAAAGTTAAATCGGCCAGCAAAATCAATGTTCACTGACCAAGACTAAGAAGCCTGATTTTGTCTACATCTGTCTGAAATCTTCCTAAGCAAGCACCTAGTGCAGTATAAACAGAGCTGTGTGTGCAACCATGTAGTCCATTTTTGAGTGTTTACAGCCTTTACATTGCAACTGAACATGTGCCATGCGAGAAAGGAAAGCTTGACAGGCATAGTAACAGTAAAGAAGGGGGCAGGGCTTTGTGAAGGGTCATTTTCCTCTCTTTTCCAGACTAATTTAAAGTAATATCATTGGATATTGGTTAACATAGGATACTGAAGTACAAGCAGAGAATTGTGTTGTCTACTTTGCTCCTGCTGACCCAAGCCATTGTTCACTGTAACGTTGAATATGATGTGTAAAAAATAATGTGCACGTTGTTCTTGCCTCTTTCCGTCCTGCATGCAGGGTTTTGGGTTCGTAACGTTCGAGCATAGCGTGGACGCCGACAGGGCCAGAGAGAAATTACACGGCACCGTGGTAGAAGGCCGTAAAATAGAGGTGCATGTTCTAAAATACTTCTTCATTCTTCCTGTCCTCCTTTCCTCCTTATGTGTGTATGTGTGTGGTTGTGTATTTGTGTGTGTGTGACCGTTTGACAGTGTTCTCCACATCCCACTTTTCCATCTTTCTCATGACATTAAACTGTCAAGACATCCAAGCCTCATCATTTCCCTTTCCTTGGGCAGTGTCATTAATCCAAACACAAATCAATGTCCCCATATTAGTAGTAGTAATTGTTGTATGTGAAAGACTGATTGTTTTGTTTTTTGCTTGTTTACTTTGTTCTTCCTTTTTCCTGTTTTATTTTATTTTGTACTGTCAAGTTTGGCCTTTCCAAGGTTTAAAAGTGAAAATCCATACTATGCAGCATTATAAGATAGACATATTTAGGAGGTGCAAAGATTGCTTTGGAGTTTGGCCATAAATGTTCAAAATCAAACTTGTTGTTATGTATGTTTAAACAAGGAAAGAGTTTTCCCCCAAAAATAACTCAAATCATGCTCATCCATGGCCAGAAAAACTACTCAGGAATTTTGAGCGACACCTGGAAAGTGAAATGCAAAGTTCAAAACTAACCTGATTCAGTAGCATGACAATATTCAAGCACTATTTCACCACCAGCCTTGAAGCATAACTCTTACCATTTATTATTTATCGCAGTTGCAATCTCCCATTGCCAATCCTTCAAACCAGGCAATGTCTACATGTGTTTTACCTACAGACATAATATCATGTATCTCTATGGGTGTACCTGACAATGGCTAGAATACCCTGACACCACAGCAAGTCTCTTCCATCCATTCTGCCACTTTCAATCGCTTATCTGGTGGCCCAGATGCCCCTTCTTCCAGCCCTTCCTGGAGGATCCAGATGGGTTATATAATCCCTCCAGCGTGTTCTAGGTCTTCGCGAGGGTCTCCTTCCAGTGGACCTCCTCAGATCATCGACACATGAAAGAAGGAAGGCCAGGAGAAATCCTAAACAAAACCCCAAACAACCTCAACTAGTTCCTTTTAATGCGACAGAGAATCTGCTCCTCTCCAAAATCCCTGCAGACTTTCTCACTTTATGTCTAAGGGTGAGCCCAGCCACCCTGCAAAGGAAACTCATTCTTTTGGTCATCACCCAAAACTCATGACCATAGGTGAGGCTTGGGATGTAGATTGAGTGGTAAACGGAGAGCTTGGCCTTCAGGCTTAGCTTCCTTTTCACCATGAGAGTCTGGTACAGCATCTGCAGTTACAGATGCAGCATCAATCCATCAGTATATTTTTCTCTTTCCATTTGACATTCCCTTGTTATCAAGAACATTAGATATTTGTGGCTCCAGCCATATTTATGAAGCTAACAAATTGCAGTCAAAGATTCCACCATACCTTCCTGCACTTGTACTGGATCATTGGGAAGCAGTAATCTCAAACAGAATACGTCATACAACCAGCATTCCCTGCTAGATATACCCTGCACCCAACTGCTCGTAGGCCGACACCACGTCTACCATTCGAGCCTGGAGTCCTCTACACTACATGTAATGACAAAGTTATCCCCAGACATGGGTAATCCAATATATTGCCATCCAGCCTCAGCACCTCTTGATCAAAAGATCAAACTAGTCTAACATGAAGTGAGAGTCTGGATTGTAGCTCATCAGAAGTACAGTGCACTGGCCACAACAGGCTGGTAGAACATCTCCAACATCTTGCTGCACACGTTGAAGAGTCAAAGTTTCCTGAGGAAAAAGAGTTGACTCATCCCCTTTTTGTTGATGTTGCCGATGGAGACACCCAGGAACTTGTGCTCCTCCACCTTGTCCACATCCTCACTTTAAGATGTTTTTATTTTTTCTAGATTAATTAAATCTTACACAGTTTAAAAAATCTTTGATCCTCACTTTTCAAGGTTAACCCAAATATCACATATAATGTCTCACGGGGGCTTAGAGGTCCACAACAGCAATAGTTCCAGACCTCTAGGCTCTCTAAGAAAACTGCTTCGTCTTCAGCCGTTTTAACTAAAGCCATGTGGGGCTATACAGGGACCATGTGGAAACTTACCACGGCAACAATTATTTTATCTTTCACATTGAAATCCTGCAAAACTTGATCCAGGTTAAACTGTTTAGCCTGACAAACCTGTGTTTGTTTTGCCGGAGCAAGATACAGCCCACATGCTCATACCAGGGGGAAATGGGGTAGATTCTTTCAGCTCAAGCTATTCCGTCAAAGCACTATTGCAGGATCTCGTGTTTTGAAGGGAAGCGAGGAGAAGCCTTCCACCTTTCTTTCTGGATTCTTGTTGCTTCAGATGCCATACTAAGCATCTTTGATACAAACTCACAAAGCCATATTCTGCCTCGTGCCCTTTCATTTGCAATAACTAAATAATCCTTCTAGATCAACAAAGTTGAGTCATTATATGCAATCTAACTACTAACTAGTTTAAAGATTAAAAATCTAAAATAAACCCTCATCAACATCAACTGCCCTCAGCCACCATCCACCAGCTCAACTCTCTGCAATGAGAGAGCTTTCATCCTTAAGGTTTATCTTAAAATCCACTCTCAATTGATACCATGATCTGGATTTTACACTTATTTATGGAGCCAACTCAATCCGTATGATGGATGAAGACAGCTTGTTCAGACAAACTGGTCGGAGTTATGCTTTAAGAAACCACCTAAGTGCTTGTAAAGAGATAGCTGACAGAGCGTTTGTGCAGTGGAATGATTGCAAAGTTTTCTTGGCCAGCTGAGTAAGATGCTGCTTATTCCTTTCTCATCCCCTCCTCCCCCACCATCCTTCCAACGGTAGCTTGTTTAGGGCCCCATCCAACACAGTTACAACGGTAACAGTACACAAACAAGTTTGCGGGGCCAAGAGGTTTGGGAATGGTAAGTGTGGGCAAACAAGCCATTCTGCCAGCATTTCCTCTCTCTCTTCCTCTCTCTTTGGAACGTTTGCAACGCTAAAACTCACGTGACATTTCTTTTTGAATTGTGGTTGAGTTGATGCTGTATATTGACATACATATTTTTATTGCGTGTCGGCGTGCGTGCCCATTCACTAAGTGTTCTCTAGCTGCGTGTGTGAGCGATACTGACTGAGATTTGAATTTGTTTGCACATCTATCTGAGATTGTTGGAAACCCATTTATAAATTTATTTTATTTTACTTTGGAAGACAATGCACCCTGATTTTGATTTACCCTGTCAGCTGTTGTTTGAATTTGGAATGATTTGATTGGTTGATTGACTTGGTTGGTTTATTTTAGTAGATCTATCTTCTTTTTTAAAATGTTAATAATGATTATTGCAATGAGTTAGAGAGACTGTTGTCTGAGTGTGAATGCTTCGTGTTGCTTTCGTCACAACAGTTCTTCTCACGTTATAAGGTTGACTGAATGTTGCATATTGCTCCCAAAATATTGTCTTCTCCCCTTCCCCCAATGACATTTCCTTTGACTGTATTTTCTCCTTCTCCCGCCTCCCAACCACCACCGCATGCATCTATACATATACAAAACATCATTTTGCCATGTGCATCTGTTGTTTCTTTACTTTTGTCTGTATGTTATTGAAATGTCACGATAATTGGGGAGAGCATGCAGGGAAACGTCAGAGGATAGAAAATATGCAAATGAGAAAGAAAACTGATTTGTCTTGGATGTGTTTTTAAACGTTTATGAATGCTATTCTGAAAACACACAATTGACATGGGTGTTTGGCGTGATACAGTGTACTGCTTTCTTTGTTTACAACATTCGGAAACTATGCATGCAGATTCACTCGAACAAGTAAAGCTCTCACTACTAATGTAAAAGTCTCGCAACTCATGGAGCTCTCTTCATCTGCTGCAGGTCAACAATGCAACAGCCCGAGTAATGACAAATAAGAAGACTGTCAACCCATATGCAAATGGTAAGGACAAGTTGTGTACATCCATGAAAAGTGTTCACCAAATTGTCAATTGTCATGTTTTATTTGAATCATTGAATCAACTTGATTTCACATGGCATTTCTGACACTGATCATCAGATCAAAAGTATTCACCCTCTCCAATAGGATGCACCCAAACTATCACTGGCGCATTTAAAAAAATGTTGACCTCACAATGCAACCTGACAGAGAAAAATGATTAAAATGTGCAGTTTTTAGATGCGCAAAGCTGATAAAAAAACCTGTCCACTATCAGGCAAAGGTGCATCTACTAAATACTGACTGAAGAAAACGTGTTTTTTAAAATATTTGTATTCAATTTAGACTTTTTAGAGGTCTGTTTTCACATTTTCTTTTGATCTGTGTGGAAAAAAAGCCTCTGCTTTGATTTAATATAGATTTGAGAGGTCACATGGTGATATAATTTGACATCCCTATCGGAAGTAAAACATGAAGACTTCCAGGGGGTTGATGATGATTACATATGAAAGCTGTTAGCTTCCACCTGCTGACCTCAGGCCTATTGACACCCATTCACCCATATCACTATGAACCATAGTAAAAGATGGATCTTACATCTGTGACGTCTCTGAACATTTAAAAGCCTGGATTTTAATTTACTGTATTCTGGTTCCAGCCCTCTTTATCACAGTTCAGCTTGGATCAGATCTTTATTGCAGCAAAGTAGCATACACACACAAAAACATGGAAGATACACAGAATAAAACCACAATAAGACAGGTGGAGAAATTAAAAGTGTTGTTGCTATGCACACAATAATAATCAAATAAAGGGTGTATGATAAAAGTGAGGAAAATAGCGATTGGAATAATAAAATGCTAATTTGTGTGACAAACCAGGTGGAATCTAACATCTAATATTGTATCCGATTTTTGGAAATCTGTATCTCTTACATCCAATATACAGCCTGTGATGACCCAGATTTGACAGCAACATCATCTTTCTGTGCCAGAATCAGATACATAGTGACAGAAAAATGGCCACAAGGCAACAAGCATTGGTCAGGTGGACAACTATGTCCAACTGGGTTTTCAAGTGGGGACAAAATTCAGTCAGGTAATCCAGGCTGATTGTCACACACCAACGTTTATGCAGCAAATGGGAAGAAGATGAGGAGGGGAAGTGAGAAAAGCAGCAGCTAGCATGTTTTATTGTAGCCTCACTTTTGGGCTGCTGGCTGGGCAGTGACTGAGTAGTTATCAGTCAGATAAATGAGCAGCACCTGCTTGTAATTTAACGAGCTGTTCCCGTTGCGTTTCCTTTGTAATGCCATCAAAACTATTAAACAGAAGGTTGCATGAATATATTTCCATTTTCAACTTTTTATACTTTGTCTAGTTGGCTAGTTTTCTTCAACATTGTCTTCTTGCCCAGATTATGTCTTTTTGGAAGGTTTGCCAAGAAAGAATGCTGGCATTGTACAGTACGTTGAATGTGGGGTGTGGTGGATGGGTGTTTCTACAAGTGTGGTACAAGGCTGATATGATACGTATTTACATAGCATATTGTTGCTTCCCAAACATCAACATTCAACGTATCCCATGGTTTGCAGAAACTTACTATGCCAACATTGTTTCTGCTGCATGGGTGGTTTACTCTGGTGCAGAAAGTAGTGTGACATTCATATTTCTTTGCAAACAGATCCAGCCGTTTGCATACTGTCTAATGCTCCAAACTCGGGACATGGAGTTTAAAAGCCTGGCCATTTACCAGGCAAGGAAGGTCTAACAAAAGAGGTCATTGTGTTGCATTGTGGGAAGTGAAGGGGTTTTAGTCAAGCTAGTGGTGTGACAATGTCAGTCTTACGATTAGTCATCTACTTTGGTCAAGACTGAGAAATCTCGACTTCTACTGGACGTATTGCCATGAAATAGATTTATCCCAATAACTTAGGTGAGACTAGCACCACTACAAGGTTCACATTTATGGTTTTGAGTGAAGTGTCTCAACAGCTATTAGATTGATTGCCATGAAATTGGTTCAGACATTCATGGTCCCCTCAGGATGAATGTCAATCACTTTTCTTGATCATTAAACTTTTGATCCAGCACCATTGGGTCACACCTTAAATTTCTTAAATAGTTTGTTGGAATTTTAATTATAATAGCTGCAAAACTAATGAATTTCCTATCAATATTAAGCTGTACTTAGTTTCACTGCTAATTCACAAATGTTAGCATGCTAATATGCAAAACTAAGATGGGAAACCTATACATGGTGAACATTAAACCTTCCTAAAATATGCATGTTAGCATTGTCATTGGGAGTGTGCTGCCATACTAGCATTAACATTTAGCTCAAAACACGGCTCTACCTAAGTACAGTCCATAGACTGTATATCAGAAGTGGACATAGTCACCGTGACGTAACCCATTGGTTTGAGGACCACGGATGTGAGGCCTTAAGATCGGCGACTTGGCCATTGCCGTCTTTTCCTTTGGCCGTGAGCATCTTGTTTTTTTGGAACCAGAAGTGACAAACCAGGGCGGCTGTGGCTCGGTGGTAGAGCGGGTTGTCTTCCAATCGGAACATTGGCTCCTGCAGTCCATGCCGAAGTGTCCTTGGGCAAGACACTGAACCCCAAGTTGCTCCTGATTGTTCTGCTATTAGTGTATGAGTGGGTGTGAATGTGAATGAGCTCAGTCAGGTTGCCCCTGCCTGTTAAGGCCGAACTCACCACTGAGGCAAGGACTCAAAAGCACAACTCAAGACAGGACACTTCCAAAAAACACAGTATCTACTTAACAGAGGTTCGGTACACAGGCAAGCAGTCAGTTCTGGCAAACAAATCCAAAATAGGGGCGAGGCAAAATGCAGTCAGGGATCAGATCCCAAGGAGAACATGCTGGAACGCTAGACACAGAAGTACGAAGATGAATTGGCACAGACAAAGGGAGCACACAGACTAAATACTCTAGGGAGTAGGAGGTGTAATTGGGAACAGGGGAAGGTAATCACACCGGCGGGAAACACACAACGGCAAGAAGTGAAGTTGTCTGAAACTAGAGGAAGAGAGTTGAATGACAAAATAAAACAGGAAACCCAAAATTGACACGACGTGAAAACAAGGAAAACATAGCTCAGGTAACTTGACGAGGTGTTACACTACCATCAGTGTATGAATGTGTGTTTGTGGGTGAATGACATGTGGTGTATAGCGCTTTGAGTGGTTGGAAGACTAAAAGGGGCTTTACAAACGGCAGTCCATTTACCATTACACGAGGGGGTGGAGCTGAGTATAACTGAACGCTGCATGTAAGCGACCAAAATGTTAAAATTAACTTTCATGAAGTGGAAACACACTGTGAAAGGGTTGTAAACCGTTGTAAGACAAAAACACGGTCAACTCCTAGAACGGACAATGCTATGGTCGAGACCTGCCAATCACCGTGTAGCCCCGCCCTAAAGCATCCCCTGCTTTATGGTCTATTTGACTCTAAATGGACCATAATTTACTAAATGAACATCATGCTGTATTGAAGAAGACTTGAAACTAGAGACTGAGACCATAAACTCATGTTTACAATGTTTACTGAGGTAATAAATCAAGAGAGAAGTAGAGTCATTTTCTCATAGACTTCTATACAACCAGAGGAGTCGCCCCCTGATGGATAAATAAGAGAGAGAATGCAGATTTAAAGCAGCAGTGTGTCAGATTTAGTGCCATCTAATGGTGAGTTGCAAATTTTATTTCATCCAACTGAATACCCCTCCGCTCACTCCTCCCTTTCCAAGCTTGTCGGAAAACAACGGTGGCCTTCAGTTAACGTAAAAACATCAAAGCCCAACGATTCTTAGTTTTTCGGTGATTATACACTGATGAAAACATAGTTATGAATTATGTTTAATTTCTGCCAATGAATCCCCCTTAATCCTACACACTGCTCCTTTAAAGGGCTTCTGCTTGGATCTCCAGTCCCACATAGCCTTGTGGGACTGTAGCTTGAGTCATAGTAGGGACAAGAGGTCATAGTTAATTTCATTTCATACTTTGTACGCCGTCAACCAAGAGCTTTGAGATGCCTAGACTTATATGTTATGTTGTGTTATGATATATTCAAAATGAACATTTTGTGCTGCCAGGGGAAATGATCCAGATATGTTCCATATACATGTTTTGTTGTTACGTCTTTAAAAAATGTAATCCAGGCAAACAAATCAGCAATTGAAAATGAGCTACAGTAAATCAATGTAATTTGTACCAGACAATATAAGAAGTCAACTGACATGTCAAGGAGATATGAACTCAAAGGTAAAACGGTTTAGTCTTTTGCCTCAATCTTGATGCGACTAACTGTGTTCTAAATATGTAAATACATTCCCAGGTCGATTTAAGTTCAGTCAGAACCTACAGGTTCATGTAAACTAAGCACAATAAACCACTGCTCCGTGTTCTGTCTCTTCCTCTCTGTCTGTTTCTCTTTCTTGCTGTCTGTCTTTGTTTCAGGCTGGAAGTTAAATCCAGTGGTCAGCGCTGTCTACAGCCCAGAATTCTATGCAGGTAGGAGGGCATGCCCTTTTCCATCTGTCACCATCTCCTTTGTCGTTATCTTCCTCCTCCTCATTTATTTTGTTCCTCAGTTTCTTCGACATCTTCATTTTCTCCCTCCCCTCCCAACCCTCACTCCCTTCATTTTAACCTTCGTCACCTCTCCCTCCTCTGTTTTCCTTCCATGCAACATGCAGCCAGTAAAAGAGTGTTTATAGCTTGAGAACTATGCTGACTCGCACAAACGCGACAGCAGACTGTCATCGCTGCTGCAAAACAAACGCACATTCTGCAACCCACACCGCCACCCAGATGCCATCTTCAATCTTGGCCATCCCTGCATTCACCTCCCCCAACCCTTACACACTGCGCACCCCCACCCTGTCATTAACCACGGCCATTAAGGTGAAAAATACCTGGGCTTTGTGATAAGGGGAAGAGAGACAGATAAAAGAGTGTGGCAGAGGAGAGGAGTGAAGGAAAGCAAAGGACAAGAGAGAAGGAAATCGAATTGTCCATTTCTGCAAGGACATTAAAAGGTGTGAAATATATTTTGTAAATTAAAATCAATATTTTCTATTCCTCCAGACTGTCGTTTGCCTAATTCACCCCCACATTCTTTTAATTACAAAATGTCTTTGTATTGATTTACTTTTGTTTCACCTTTCCAATTCCCAAAATGCCATTGGGGCATGTGTCTGTGTGTGTCTGTGTGTTTGTGTGTGTTTTGTATGGATGTGCACATGTTCGATGAGTGTACAAGCTTTCTTGCTGTAGTCATTTGTGCTATTATGTTATATTAATAGGTTATGATTGCAGCCATTCAGGATGGAGGCCAGGACCTGTTGGTTAATTGGTTGTGATGTGTTAATAGCAGAGGAGAGGCAGTGTTGAGGACTCACCAAATTACAACAGCAAAGCTCTTTGTCAACCTTCTCAGGAAAAAAAAGAAAAAGTCAGATTTTATTTGCTAACTTTTAGAAACCTTCCTCCTGAAAAGGGTCTGCCTCTCAGGATTTAGACATTTAAAAGTGCTCAAGAGGAATGGCATATGATACAATGGCTATGCTAACTCTTAACACTACCACTGCTCAACTCAGTCTAGAAATACATGGGCTGCCTCGCATATTGCATGCTATGCAATACATACTCAACGTGTACTGTGAATAAACAGTGGTATGCAGTGGCAGGCCTGCATTTTATACCTGGGCCTTCAGTGCTGTCCTACTTCAGTTTAACCACCTCCTAATAACCTCATTATGACGCCACAGCTACGGTTATTATTTGGTTCTAGGGGTGTAGCAATACACGTATTCGTATTATGTCTGTTCGGTACGAGGCTTACGAACCGAACAATACGTTTGAATAATACTAGTGTATTTGGAAAATGCAGAAGCTTAAATTGTGGGAAATAGTGGAGCCACTGTGCTCTAACTGGCAACCCACCCAACGTCACAGACAACGTGATGTCTGACACGCCCACCACGGAAAATAAACCATTGTACTCTGGTGAGGCTTGTCTGCTCTGGGAGGCTATGCTAAACTAGCTTAGCAGGAAAACAACAGCAGCACACACGCTACAAACTCTCCCCGCAGCGTTTAGCTGTTCCCTACTGATTCAAGCAGGGCTAAAGCAATCGCCACACAATCCCCATTTCTCCAGACCATCATTCTCACTTTGTTAAAGAAAACAGATACATGAATACGCGCATGACGGGATGCTTCGTCATTAACGGACAATGCATATAAACAAAATCAATGTAATTCACACAATGACAAGAACAAACTCACAACAACCAGTCACATATATTTATATGACAACAAAGCAACAAATCAATCCAGCAGACCTGCAGTGCTAAAACACGTATTCATCCACACACTGAAGATCACGAGCCATTCAAATATTATTCACATCAGAGGGAACAATATTAACCATATCATAAAATGACACCATAGACAAATGAACACAGTAGTAACGCTACTGCAGATGTAAAAACACAAAAGCAGTTCACTTACCAAAGCTGCTGTTCACTTAAAGACAAAGTCCATCCTCCTTTCTTTGTTAACAAAGAGTTTAATACCGCGGTTGTACAGAACATCGGTGCGGTTCAGTTCCAGCCAGAGGTCCTCCTCCAACGTGTTCGTTGAGTTGTAGATCCACTCGGGTCTCTCCAAAAGTTTTTAAAAGCACCGTAGCTTGTAAGTGTCCTGCCGTGTATGGTGTCTTGTTGCTGCCTTTGTTAGCAAATCCAGCTAAGCTCCAAACACCAGGACGCTCAGTCGCAAATAAAACTCATTCTTAGCCATAAAATGTGCAACGCTTCTCCGACGCTGTTAGCCAGGAATACCGTTCGTACGAATCCTTTTCCATGCTGGGTCAGGGCTGCTAGCTGTGGGGTTGGCCGACCCTTTCTTACGATGTCCAGCTTTTCTGGAAATGTCCTTCTCCAGGAAGGCGTTGCCAGTAACTCCCAAATCCGTTTCTCCTCCTCCTTCAGCCATTGAGTATTAAAAAAACAAAGCTATACCAAGCAAAACGCTAAAAACGTCATGTCGATTTCATAACTTCTTACATATCTTTCACCTTGAACTCTTACTACTAACTTCTGCTAGCTAGCTTCAGCGTCACAACAGTCACGCCAGCCCACTGACCAATCACGGCGCACGTTAATGCTGACGTACTTGTAGGCCAGCTACACAGCTCTGACATGTCAAAGAATATGCCCAACATCAGATAAAAATCTGATTGGTTGAAGACTATGACAATCAAGTATATCGTCCCCATTTACTTAAACTGCAAAGGCTATCCAGCAGGCCTCGGGCCTCTCTTCTTACCGAGAGACATAGGGGTGAAATCTAATTGGATAAAAGCTCTCCTTAAAACAAGCTGCACTGGAAGCAGAGCAACTGAGGAAGACAGTAAAATAATTAGAATACATGTAGTGTATTCATGAAAAATTATGAAACTATAAAATAGCTATAACTTTGTGATTCTATTTAGGCCAGCAGAGAAGGCTTTGCTGGCCCTGATGGCCCACCACTGGCACTATGTATCTTTTCAGATGCACTAAGCGGTTATTACCATGTCCCATGAGAGCCTACTTGCAGGTTGGAACTCTCGTGTGACCAAACGATAATTTGTGAGAGTCCTAAAGTCTGAACTAATTTTACGTTACAGAGCTGTCTGCCACTTCCTGTTTTGAACGTTGTCCTCACTACCACATTGCATTGTGGGATATTTATGAATTACGTGAACAGTGGTCTCTAGTCTCAAAGTTAGAAGATCACTAACCTCACAATACCTTTCTTCTGAGAAAGAGATCATTTTAACGGTCTCAGATATCCAGATGTGAAGTGAAGTCCGAGCATGACACAGAGGAGGCATACAATGAACCATATGCTGATGATTGTGCACACATTCAGTCTCTCAACGGCATTCATGGTGTACTACTGCATGTGAAAAGAGACGAAAGTAGTTGTGTGAGGACTGATAGGAGATGGCTTAAACCCAGCATACATTGACTTGCAATTTGCCAATGAAGCCTTGCGACTTGACTTACACTTGGTCATACAAGTGCATACGTGAAATTCGAGCTAAGCATTTAACCCATCCCAAGCATTAGGAGCAGTGGGCTGCTGTAGAGCGCCAGGAAGCAACTTGTACAATCAGACTGAAAACATGACTTGGAGTTGTCCCCCAGCTCTGGCATTTATTTACAACATGATGCATTGCTGTAGTCAGTAGGCGTTTAGAAGGGTCTAGTCTAGTCTGCCTGACTCATTGATCCTTTTTCTGACTGAGGGGTGTGCCAGTTAGAATGAGCCGGACCATGGCTCTGTAATATCAGTCACCTCACCATGCTGAGTACTGATGGATCCATGGCGCTGTCCCTGCTGCTGGAGTAGCAGACAGATTAGTCATTTATTTACATTGTCAATGAGTTCAGCAGTATTGCTCAGTATTCCTAAGTTATTATGAGTCCTAGTTGTTCTGTATTGGCATATACCACTCCTTTTCATTCAGGCCATATGAACAGCAGAGTGGAGCAGCGTTGGAACAGTCACCAGTGTGACTTTCAGAGTAGCCAGGCCACTCGCTCCTAGAATCAAGGTGACAGAAGATGAATAGGAACAATTACCAGCCTCACACCTCTCCTTGTCTCTCTTTGACAAACTCTTATCCTTTGGCTCAAACCTTCCATTTTTCACAAGGTCCATGAATGATTCACTGTTTCTATTAGCATTTTATTAGATCTCCCTTTTGAGGAGATGTATAATTAGGGTTGAATATGGCACCTAGATCTCCTTCTCAACCTTCACTCACCCCAGCTCTCAAATTAAGCTTTGAGTCAGTCGGCCTCAATTAAGATTAATGATAAGTTAATAACAATACCACTGCAATAGCTCCACTCCACTGCCACTCTCTTTAAACTAAACACTTTTTGTCCATAATTCAGATTCAAATTCAACGCCGCAGGTGTACAGCTATTCATGTTCCACCATGCACCGACTAAAACAACCTGCCTTACAAGGAAATTGTGTGTTCTTTTTATGGATCAGGTAAGATGTGAATCATTTTTCTGTTCTATGTCTCCAGTACCAGGTTTTCCCTACCCAACAGCCAGTGCAGCAGCATCATACAGAGGAGCCCACCTAAGAGGTCGAGGACGGACAGTGTACAACACATTCAGGGCAGCTGCCCCGCTTCCACACATCCCAGCTTACGGAGGGTGAGCAATCTTTATTGCAATTGTCCTGTTGTCATTTCTTCCTCTTTGGCCTCTCCTTCTCTTCTTCCTTTATCCAATGGCAAGTCCTGAATCTCTGAGCTCAGAGTCAGCAGAGCAGTGCAGTCCAGCCTCGTCTCACAGCGATAACGCACTCCCCCACTTCCACAGCATGCTAAATCAGCCAACTGGCATGCTCCAAGACATGTGCCTCTGCACGGACTCATGGAACATTATTGTCAATTTGGCCTTGTACTGTGGTGTCATTGAGACGCTGTTTTCATGGTTGGAGATCTTCCACTTTGTGACCACTTTTGGGATTTACCCAGTTGCCCAAAAAAAATAAATAAAAAAAGAAAGCAAAGTACAATAAGCATCTTCCAGCCCCAGCAGCAGCTCTGGCTGATCCTCCATGGCTGAATGTTCTGGAGACAAGCCAAGCATAGCTGTGTATTGTGGGCATCAGATCTGATTTGATTTATTCTGTTGGTTCTTCTTTTATTCATTTTGCTTTTTATGACTGCAAGCAGATGGACACTAAGGACGCTGGCTGAGAGTCTATTTAAGGATGGGAACAGATTTACAAATTCAATTGTAATGCTGATTTTCAGAAAATTGCTAAAATATATGTGATTTAATGTGAATTTTCAGGCACTATTCTAAATATTCGGTTCATGGAGATAAACAGGTGCTATTAAACCATTTTTGAAAGTGAGGGCGCAACAGAAAGAGTTACTTAAAAGATCTCCAGTCAAACCTCCATTTATGGAACATAATGAAAATATGACATTTCTGTTGGTTTTCTGTAATAATGTGAGGAAGGATATCATCGCTCATTTTTGTTTTATCAATATACCATTTTTTCCACCTCAGGCAAGTGTAAATAAAAACCTTTTTTACAGTATTTATTTTAGTTTAGTTTTTTGTCCACTCTATTTTTTAAATATGCAAATTGAAGAAGTACATTCAGTTGGATATTTATCCCCCTATTCTTCTGCACTTTTAAATATTTAGTTGATGTTTAAGGCACCTCCACATTGGCTTTACTTTTAAGAAGCTAAGGTTGTTGCCTGATTATACTGAATTAAAGGCAACATGGAGGAAGTGTTAAGTTTGTATTAACATCAAACAGAATCAACAGCAAATTAAAACGAGAGAAGCTTCTTTGTAAAATATAAACGTTTCTCGTAAAACAGGGGTTAACTGGAAATAAAGGCCTGTCTCTAATGTGTCCTGCTTCAAATAAAGGCTTCTCTAGCCAGTAGAGGCTGCTCTCTGAGAACACATGGTCAATTATTTTTTGGTTTATGAAGTGGAAATAACCCAATAATAAACACCCTCCTTCCAACACAGGTAGATTAAAGCAGATGTGCAGGTGCCTCTGAAAAAAGCTTTCTGTTGGAGGGATAAATAATACCTTCACCCACAACAACACTGTCACTGTGAGGAACCATCACATGAGGACGATAGGTGTTTGGGTGAACAATCGAGCAGGGTCTTGATAAAGAGATTTGTGCTACATATTGTACTTTCATTAACGCTGCAGCACCGCTTAATTGCCCCAGTGGCAGGCGAATGATGAATTATTAATGTGGACCGTGATGTATTTTTATTAAAACTGTCTTGAGTGGCGAAGAGCTGTGACACAGCAAGGAAACCCAGTGTGCTGTGTGTGTGTGTGTTCATTAACTGTTCCTTCATGTCTTTAAGGCAGCCTGACATGACAGTCTATACTATCTATAAGCTGTGCTGCAGTCCCATACAATACATTTTAATTAGTGAACCTGCTCTCTGGGCCTCCTTGACATTTGAGAAGTTATTGATTATAAGAGATAGCACAAACGAGTGAAAGCAAGCTATTGGCTGGTGAATTGGGAAGTTTGTTCCTCTGAGGAGCTCTTCTTCTTAAATGGAACTCTTTCATAATGCAGTGCTGACAGCAGCGTCCTGATCTTTTTATTGGAGGCTAGATGAGGAATGCTTTCTCTGTCACACACACGCACAAACTTGCATACAGTGCACATAGAGGGAGGTGTTTAATCTCAGCACTAATGGTCATCCAGTGATTTCATATTATTAGACAAGGGACTCTGCAGATCAGGAGACAATAATAGAGAAACACACAATGATATTAGCAGACCGGTTCAGTTCACTTCACTTCATTACACGTTAGAACGCTTATTTTCTTTTTCCATGAGCAAAGGTTGTGGATAGTACCTGGAAACTTCTTGGTACCGCCTAAGTCAGGGTTCCAATCTTTAGTCCAATCTTTAGTGTGGTCAATAGGTACCCGATTAGGGTAATGAGACCGGTGCCAAGTTTTTAAATCGATCCTCTTCAAGATGAGTCATGATTGAATATCTGTTAGACTATACGTGGGAGTCGGGGATTCAGCGTTTAGTAGGAGAAGGTGTAATAGTGTAAGTGAGGATGCTGCTTTCAATCTGCTGCTAGCCGCGACTTAAATGTATTTAAGGAAGGGCTGTCGACTGTGTCCTGCTTTAAGGTATTCCATGCCATGCTGATTCTGGCTGTGAACAAATTAGTCCTGATGCCAGTTTGATGTTGTATTTGTAGTTTCTGACTGTGGCCTCGGGTTGTGGTTGATAGTGATGGCCGTAGCATGGAAGTTCCGCAAGTGAAGCATGGTCTGTTGCCTTTCACGCTGTCATAGCTCTGTAGAATTTTAAAGCACTGGATTATGTCTGTTCGTTGTCGGCAGTATTCCAGTGTAGGTAGACCTAGGTGTACTAGTCGCTCTGGGTAGGATTTATCGGAAGTGCCTTGCACCAGTCTCGTGGCCTGGCGCTGTGTTTTTGGAAACTCAGTTCATGGTCAATCACTACACCAAGATCTTTCTCTGCTTCTGTTGATTCGAGGGTATGTGTAACTCCGTCTGCACTGATCATTGTGTAGGTCAGAATGGGGTTGTTGTGTCCGAGGTGCAAGACTTTGCATGTCTCGAGGTGGAAGCGCATTTGCATCAGAACTGACCAGGCCTGGAGTAGATCTAGATCAGTTTGAAGACTTGTGTGTTAAGTTTGGTGGGCGTCCAATATGGCTTGGTAGATTTTTATATCGTCGGTGAATATGGATATGAAGTTGCAGAGGAGACTGGGAATGTCACTGACGAAGAGGGTGAACAGTAGCGGGCCCAGGACGTAACCCTGTGGGACACCGCTAGTTACTTCAGTCCAGTTTGAGAGTTTCCCGTTAACTTGCTGTCTTCTCTTTGTCAGAAAGTTCCTGATCCATAGCAGAATATTATCTCGGATGCCGAAGGAGGAAAGCTGTGCAAGTAGGCGTTCGTGCGGGATTGTGTCAAAGGCCTTGGCATAGTCCAGGAATATGACATCTACTGGTAAACTGTGGCTTAGTGCCTCCGTCCACATGTCAATTGCCTCTAGATTAGTCCCTGTTGATTTCCCCGATGTAAATCTGTGTTGCTGGTCGCATTGGAGGTTGTTGTTTTTCAGGTGTTCTACTATTGCCTCTGACATAATACGCTCCACAACCTTGCATAACACCAATGTCAGCGAGACGGGTCTATAGTTGGCTGGGTTGGATTTGTCGCCCTTCTTGTAGATTGGTGTCACTGTGGCTGATTTCCATTGGTGAGGTACCTCGCCGCTTGATATAAGCTATGCTGCAGTCCCACACAATACATTTTAATTAGTGAACCTGCTCTCTGGGCCTCCTTGACATTTGAGAAGTTATTGATTATCAGAGATAGCACAAACGAGTGAAAGCAAGCTATTGGCTGGTGAATTGGGAAGCTTGTTTCACTGAGGAGCTCTTCTTGTTAAATGGAACTCTTTCAAAATGCAGTGCTGTCAGCAGCGTCCTGATCTTTTTATTGAAGGCTAGATGAGGATTGGTGTCACTTCTTGTAGATTGATGTCACTGTGGTTGATTTCCATTGTTGTGGTACCTCGCCGCTTGATAGGCTAGTACTGAATATAATGCTTAGTCGGAGAGCTATAGTATCTGCCAGCTCGTTCAGGACCCGGGGATGGATCAGGTATGGGCCTGCTGGTTTGTCAGTTCGAAGTGAGCGCAGCTTCTTCAGAACCAATTCCTGTGTGATTGAAAGATTAAGCTTGGAATGTAGTAGTTTCGGGTCAGGTTGAGGAATGGCGGTCACGTCCTCGAATGTGAATGTATTTGCATACTGCTTATTCAGGATTTCGGCCTTGCCCATGTCGTCGCTAATGAATTGTCCGTCCATATTGTGGAGGTCTGCAATATTGAGCCTGGTGGCTCTCCTGCTGTTGATGTAGCTCCAAAAAGCTTTGTTGTTAGAGAGGGCTTATTTTGCAAGTTTTGTTTCAAAGTCTTTTCTGGCCTTTCTAGTGGCATGGGTGGCCTCGTTCCGTGCTCGAATATATTCTTGGTAGTGTTGACCGTCTTTCTTAAGTAACGTATCCATGCATGGTATTTCCTTCTGGCTTTTCGAAGTGCATTGTAGTTCATCCATGGAGGTTTTGTCTTAGTTATATTAAGGTTAGTTGTTCCAGATGGGGTATGACTCGCAACTGTTTCCATTAGTACTTGCTCCAAGATGTTTGCTGTTTCCTGGGCCGATTTTCCTCATAGCATGCGACTCCAGTCCAGATTCAGTTCCTTCCTCATTTCGTCGTAGTTCGCTTTGTTGTAGTTGTAGCTAGTTTTGAGAATGGATAGGAGATGGGTGCCGAAGATGAATATAAGCGAGATTCCAATGTGATCGCTGGCTCCCAGTGGGTCTAAGAGGACAATTGCTCCACCATTCCGAATTAATTCGTAAAGATCAGGTCGTCTCGTGTGGTGGTGTGTCCATTTCTGAATCTGGTTGATTCTGTGATGTGTTAGTAGGTAGGTGTCTCTTATGCATTCCACAAATTTCAGGTGTGGGCTGTCGGGACTTGTGTTCGGTGTGACTGGGGGTTCTGGTGTCCATATGATGGCCGGGTGATTAAAGTCACCTGTTATGAGCTTGTGTGTGAAGCTGCTATTGGCGGCCCACACTAACGCTTTGTGCAAAGCTTCATCGAGGGGCAAAGCCACTGTTGGAGAACCACTTCTGTAGATGCAGCCCAACAGGAATTTGTTGGTCCCTACCCCTTTCACTGGTATCCAGGTACTGTCTCTATGGTACACTGGTATATCTGGGTTGACTTGTTCAGCTTGATTTTTGCTCTTGACATAGATGCATGTGCCTCTTGTGTTAGGTACTGTCAAATCGCTGGTGAACAGATCGTAACCTGGGAGTGCCATAGTTAGCATGCCTGGTATTAGTCCTACCTTAGGCTTGATTTCTGCTAGGGCCAGTAGGTCATAGTCATGGAGTTTGTTAAGTGCTACAATGCTCTCGTATTTACTCAACCGAACAATGTCACAGCAGTTTAACATGGCGTCGCTATGGCGATCAGTTGAGAGTCTACTATCTGCAGTGAGTTGAGACGAGCAGAGCCGTACCATGCAGTGGAAAGATGACTAATCCTGCTTTGTTAAGGTGCGGTAAGGTGGGGTCTAAAGATACAGCCCTGGATTTCACTTTAAGCACTCTCGTGATATTTAGAAACCTTGTTATTCTTTTTGCGTCAAAGTGGGGGCCAGCGCGAAAGTCTGTCACTGAGTGAGTAACATCGTTACACCATTGGTGGAAGTGAGTGATGACGTTGCACCATTGGTCGAAGTGAGCGATGACGTTAAACCATTGCTGGAAGTGAGCGATGACGTTACATCATTAGTGGAAGTGGGCGATGGCGTTACATCATTAGTGGAAGTGAGTGATGACATTACACCATTGGTGGAAGTGAGTGATGACGTTAAACCATTGCTGGAAGTGAGCAATGACGTTACATCATTAGTGGAAGTGAGTGATGACATTACACCATTGATGGAAGTGAGTGATAAAGTTACACCATTGGTGGAAGTGAGTGATAAAGCTACACCATTTGTGGAACTGAGTGATAACGTTACACCATTAGTCGAAGTGAGGGATAAAGTTACACCATTGGTCAAAGTGAGTGATAACATTGCACCATTGGTTGAAGTGAGTGATGGCCGTTGCTTCTTCAAAATGAATAGTTGTGACAGTGTATCTGCTGGTAATGTCTTGGACGCTGCAATCGATCAGTCGATCAGTTGATCCACTTTGGGAGCGCTATAAGTGCAGCGTAGCTCAGTGTCTAACGATAGTGCATGCGTAGCGAATGTGTGCTCGAGCCAGTGACAGACAGACGTGAATGCGCTCATAGCAGACAGACATTGGGAGCAGAGAGGGAATCAGCTGTAAACTTATTCAGTGGTAGTAAATGTCCACAGTAGGTTTCAGTTTGTCCATGAATAAATGCTGCAGCTTCTCTAGAACAACACTTGAGGCCGTGGGGATGTTCATAACTGTGATGGAGCGTAACCAAGCGGTCTGTTAAACAAAATAACAGCGAATATCTTTTCTGGGTCTGGTGGAGTGGGGCAAGTCTTAGAGAATTACACTGTTGATGTCATAGGGATGTCATCCGCTCAGGAGAGTGGGTCATCCACTAATCGGAAGATCGGTGGTTCAATGTCGAAGTGTGAATTTAAAGTGTCCTTGGGCAAGATACTAAATCCCAAATGACTCTGGTGTGAGTGTGAGATGTAACTGTGTGAATGATTAAGATCCTGATGCATCTTGTATAGCAGCCCTCAAGGCAAGATGACAAGAAGGGTCGAACAAAAGATTTTGTGGAGTTGGAGTGAGGATTCTGAATAGGATAACTTTGTCAGCCATCCCAGTGTGAAAAGACAGTTCATAAGAAATGAGAGAACTGCCTGAAATGTCTTGTACAGCACAAACACACAGGACAAACTGGGGAATTTGTACATCTGTACCAAATAGTTCAAACTACATTTGTAATGTTGATGGTGAAATTGTTATTATTAATAACTTTCAAAAACATTGAATGCAAAGTCCAACTTCCATCTTCTCTTTCTCTTTCTCACAGTAAGCGATGCGGCTCCTCGTCTCTGTAAATGTCTCAGTCCAAAAGTCAACATCTATTGAAAATAAGATGGATGTAATCATTTCCAAAATATTCTGCTTCAATCCATATTTGTTAGCTTTTAGCCTTTCAAAAACACAATTTACACTGTGGTGAAAAATCTCAATGGGGAAGGCCTTCCGCTTTATTAACAGTGCAGTCTAGCAGCAATCTAGTGACGCCATATATTATATTTATGTAACCACAATAACACAAAATCATATTTTTTCTTTTAAAGAGTGATGACATCATAAAATATGACAGACATCATATACAGTAGTTTATATTGGTACTGCTGCTGCTCCAAGGTCAACTTGCACTGTGCTGTTGACTGCTTTATATACAAAATAATAAAGAAGCATATTTCTTTTCCTTTGTCTTATTTGCAAGTTTTTTGTTGGAGGGTGCTGAAGGAATGAGTCCTAAAACCCAGAAAAAACTCCAACCCCTTGTCTCGAAATCTGTGGATTTGTTAACGTGCTTTTGGTTCGATGTCTGAAATAAGGTCTGTTTTTAACACAAGCTGAAGAAATGTCAAAGTTTTGTTCTACAAAATAAAATACGTCAGTAAATACCCCCTCTGGTGAATTTAAGCTTTTAAGTGTCTTCAAAAAGGTGGTTTGCTATCAAGTGTATAAATTAGACAAATTAAAAAATAGTTAATTGTTTGCCAAAGAGATTATGTTCTATAATAATCCATAATCGAATGAATAGAAAATATGTGATACATGCAGCATCGATTGAGCTCATCCAAAAGTAACGAAAGGCAAACAGACTACATTACTTTTATGATTAATGATATATTTCTATATTATAGGTAACAAGTAATTATATCGAAATACTTTTTTAAAGTAACCCTCATAACCCCAATAATAAATGAGTCAACAATTGGGTTAAAATAACTCAGAAGTGGTGTTACCTAAGTACAGAATTACCGTCAGAAATAATTCAATGTTAACGTTTATTAGCATTCAGCGGTCTCCTGGATCAAAGTCTTGTGTTTTTAGACCCACCCATTCATCACAACCTCCTTACTTTGCAAACTCTGTCGCCCTCCATGCTACGTCACCTGGACTGGCTCACAATTATTTTGATTACATACAAATTGATTACATGGCTTTTGTAGGTAAAGCTCTGAACAGTGTATGAGAACAGTCTACAGGTCCCAGATGAGCTGCTGATGTCAGCAAAAAACACTGTTGTCCCAATTGTCCCAAACTCAATAACAGACTCAATAACACTAGTTCAAGCTTTGCGTATTCTGCATTAAAAAAGGTCTGTACTCTTGATGTACTTTAATATATAATCTACATGCAAAATTTACATTTGATAAGCAGTTAAACTAACTTAACTAAATGAACTAAATACAGTGTTAACAAATACATGAAAGCCAAATGCTTTTGTAGATGAGTTATAAAGATGTAAGGTGAAATATAAATTGATATGTAGAACTATTTGTTTTGCTATTCCTCTCCAGTGGCTTGCATGCAGTTGTGATCGTGCTATAAAAATCTTTATATCCATGTTTAGATACAAACCTGAGGACAAATGTGATTCTGCTGATTGGAACGTATTGTATAATATTAGTAAAACCCTGTGAGAGTGTTTTTGGACCTTCCCAGCCTCCTTACCCAGCCATTAGAGAGCAGAGAGGGCTGCCTGCTGTTTTCCTCCTCTGCCCCTCTTGTCTTTATTTTGGGTTGTTTTTGGATTGATTGTGGAGATGGAGGTTGGTTGGTAGATAGTCCAGTGACTGCATGTCAACATGCACTAATATTGGATGTTTTTGTTTTATTGTGTGTTTGTTTGTCTGTTTGTTTGTGTTTGCATTCTCTGCAGTGTTGTTTACCAGGATGGATTTTATGGTGCAGATATTTATGTAAGTATTATTTACTGGTATGACATTGCATGCTACACTGCCATCTCCCTGGTTTCTGCCCTGTTGCTGCACACATGCACGCCTCCAACCCTCCATACATACATGGCTTCACCTTCAACTGGGGAGCAGCTAGCTGGTCTTAGCCTGCACTTCAGATCATGGCCCCAGGAAAGAGACGCCGAACAGCTACAGGCTCTGTGAGCAACGCACAACTGCACTCTGACCAAGAGTCAAAGCAAGCTGTTTTTACGGGTGCAGCTACCAACAAAGGGAGAACATGATGAGACTTTAAAAGTGGAAAAATATCTTCTGTAGGAATCTCACAATTTGATTTGATATTGATTCTTGGTGCCATGATTTGATTCAGAATCAATTCTTGATTCAATTAATAGAACGAGGGAAAATGTTCAGACTCCATTTTCAATGTGCCAAATCCTTCACTCATGTTGTTAGTGCACTGAATTACTGGTAGGAAACTAGTAGCATTTTTTTATAAATATAATAATTTAATATTACTGCATAGATGACATGGATCGGATTAGTTTTAGGATCATTCACAGAAATTTAAGAAACAAATTAAAATAACTTTTGAACTCGCTTTGACAAAATAGCCACACAGTTGAATTGCTTTACAGCAACAATTAGTTTATTTTTTAGTATTTTGTTTCCCTTTATGACAAATTTTAGAACCACAACCAATAAACAAACCCATCTCTGAAGCATCATTTTTGTCACTTTATGCATATGGTTTGATATTTCAGACCAAAATATAATTGCCAAGTTTTATTATAACCAAAAAGTTGGTTCTAAAGCTGGTCCTTATAGAAAAGGTTTCGAGGGGTTCTAGTTGACACAGACAAAGAACAAATAAAAGAAAAAAAATGAACCTGCTCCTGTCTCCAGGGTCCTACAAAGAGAGCTCAGCATACCCAGGGTATCGTTAGGTTATCTGGCTTAACTAACCCTAACAACCTGCTAAGCGCTTCTAAGAAGCTGGTTATCAACTTGTTAAATCAACCAGGGTTATTAATCTGTGTGTGAGGGCCTTCACATAAAGGGGCATCTGACCAGTCACAACATGGACCAGTCTGCTGTTAGCTGAGCGGCATATTTTACAAACAAAGAGAAGACTATTATATTACGTAAGTACGAAGAAGTCACACACATAATTCCGGCTGAAAGTAACAGTTTAAACTGACAAATACAGAAAGGACAGCTGGCAAGAAACCGCAGACTGTGTGAATGTTTAAATGAATAGATTTAAAATACCACTGCTTCATCTAGAGCACCTATGGTGACTGTCATTACACGTGTATTCTTTTCAATGAATGTGTTGTTTAGATGTATTTTTAAGGTGTGTGACAATATTTTAGCCTTATTCTGCAGCGCCAAAGCTGTGAAAATCTTGAACAATAGAAACACAAGCACAGACATAGTTAGTGTGTGTGTGTGTGTGTGTGTGAGGAGGTCCTTAGATAGCTCCCTGCCCACCCATTAGCCCCATGCCCCTGCCACAAGGACTGACTGCCATGCTGCAGTCAGAACATTTAATATTCATTAGCAAAGAGGTCCAGAGCCCTGACCCTGTGCTTCTGTTTGTCGAAAAAAAAAATGTGGTAGCAGATAAGATAAATAAGATAGAAGAAGAGCTCAGCCATTCCAGAGAGGTTCACAGCATTGGAAAATATGGATAGAAAAGAGAAACACCGCAAATTCTGTAATAGTGACCAAGGCTGTTATCTGAAACAGGCTTAGATTGCTGACAGACTTTTATTTCTACTTCCTGCTCCCTGAGAATGCAAACTCAAACATGTATCATGCATAAGGAGAAACGTCTGCAGGAAGTCTTACGTTTTCTTGATGGTAGTTTAACAGCGATGGTAAAAAGTAGCAAAGTGTAAGTCACGGTAAATTAGGAATAAAACGTAAATAAGTGTACATCGTGCACGGAATACAGCTGCTTTGGTTTTATTTGGATTTTTCTCAATTTACGTACGTTAGTACGTTGGTGAATATGTGCGAGCAGCAGCGTCACAGCAATGTGTTGGTGAACTGAGCTTACGGGAGATGTGAGTTAGCTGTTAACCCCTTAAATAATGCCAGCCTGTGTTAAAAAAAGAAAGATTGACACAGAGTGTAGAGCTTTTAACAAAACATGGACTTCTAAGTATTTATTTACTGAAGTCAAAGGTAAAGTTTAGTTTGTGGAGAACAGATCACAGTGTTTAAGGATTACAATTTCAATCTCCATTACGAGACGAAACACACAGAGAAATACTAAAAGTTGACTGATGCAGAGCGGCACGGACATCTGAGGCTTTGCTAGCTAAGCTGCTAAAGCAACATGCTCAGAAGATGTTGCTTCTCTTTGGATCCACCTCCATATGTGAACAAACATTCTCCGTGATGGAGTTTAATTAATCCAGATCCAGATCCTCTCTCACTGACATCACCTGTCAGCTGTCCTTCACATCTCACCTCAGACATTCAACCTGACTTCAGTCACTCGTTCAAGTTCAACACACACTAGAGTTCTCCACCCAACGGAAAAACAGAAAATGAGGTCATTGGACTACAACAATAGTAATAAAAGTACTAATGTATCAGAAACATGATCCTTGTCAGTGTTTTACTATTATATATGAATATTACATTTGTATATTTTCTGGATCATTCTTCCTGCTGCAGATGTTTCAGGTGGAGCTCATTTCAACTCCTTTATACTCTGTTGTTCAGTTTGGGTAGTTAGGAAGGGTTTGATTATACAATTATAATGTGCAAAGTAACTAGTAACTAAAGCTGCCAGACAAATGTAGTGGAGTAAAAAGGACAATATTTCCCTCTGAAATGTAGTGAAGTGGAAGTATATAGTTCAATAAAATATAAATACTCAAGTCAAATACCTTGAATTTGTACTTAAGTACAGTACTTAATAGTTATATTCCAGCACTGATCATAATATTCACTCTTACCACTCAAAACTATACAATTTACTACTTTTTTATGAAGAGGTGGAATAATATAGAGCAGAATTGAGTTAGGTCTATTCGTCCGGCCCTCCACAACAGTCCCCGGTTCTCATGTGGCCCCTTGGGAATAATAATGGCCGACCCCTGCTCTATTGCCTTACTGATTGAAATGGGGTGACGGCACAATTGAGTTCCTTTATTAGTTATCAAAGGACAGGTAATGCTATCAGCCTCACAGATATGTGTTAGGAGGGGGCTGCTACACTTACTAGTATGTTCAGAAGGGATTTATTATATATTCACATGGTTTATCACAGATTAGAACACAAGAAGATGATGCTGACCTCTAGTGGCCGTAGTAACTACGACGTAAACAAAAGGAGGCAGTCAGGTGACTTAGTAAAAAGAGTGACAAAGCCCACATGAGGAGGCAGTTGGGAGCAAACGGAGGGTGAATCCAATAGTTTAACACTTATTTTACCGTTCTTTTCTTACATAAATGTGTATCTTTTCTAAAGCTAAGCAAGTAGCTTTCTTGCATGAAGTTTATTTGTTTCAATCCACAGCGTTAACTTTCATTTTCACTTTCACAACGTGGTAGGTTCAGTTTGGTCTGTCTGAAGCATTCCCGATGTTGTCACCTCGGACTTAAGGAAAGACTCCATCATTTGAGTAGCAAATGGAGAGACCTCACTGGCCCGTCTTCCTTCAGTGAATCAGCAAATATGATAGATTGAAATGTCCGCTCTGTGAGATTATGTGTGGCACACACGCACACACACACACACACCAACTATTGCCTGCAAACAGAGCTGTAGGGTTCCCATTAGTCACTCAGTCAGGATGACAGTTCACAGTGGCTGGTGACTAACACAGGCCAACCTGTTCATCTTCCTGCCACGGCCCATCAACACACACTAAGTATCACTTACTCACCTCCTCAGTCGGTAGTGGTCATAACCATTGCCCATGTCAGGACAGACACACTGTCTCAGCTGTAGAGCACAGAAGGGTGGAAGGAGAAATGATGAGAGAAGTGCTGGAGTTGTCACTGAGCCTGGAAGAGAGAAACATTGCTTTTGTTTTACGATAAATTAAGTCAGGAGTTCTCAGCCATGTTGGTTTTACAGCCAACAGTCTGCTGGTTTTCAGTGGAAACAGAACAAACTAAACTGTAATATAACAGCCAAGATCTCAACAAAACAACAAGTCAAACAAGACCAAAACTCCAGCACAATACAAAAGCAATGGATGGAAAAAATAAACAGATGTTGCTATTCTTGAAGTCTTACTTGTGGTGGCAGAGAAAGTTTAGTGTACGGCAAATTCATCGATTAGACGACACATAGACAGCATTAGGACACAGAAACGCACATTGTCCCTCCCAACTTGGTCAGTGGGCCTCCGTTAAACTATGACGCTGTAGATGGTCGTAGTTATGGCGGGAGCAAAGGAGGAAGTCAGGTTACACATGCTCATGTCCCATGTGAAGCAAAAAGTAACATTACGCAGCTGCTTTAGAGACTCCCCGGCTCTGATTGGTTGTTTTTCTTCTGGTGGAATCTTTCTAATGTCATTAGTATCACTGAGAGGAGGCAGAGGAACCTGATTGTTTCACAGATTATCACACATTGTTTAATGGACTACTCTCAGGGGTCATTCAAAGTTTCCAACTGTACCTTAAAAGTTTTTGTACATGTCTGTCTCATTGTGTCGGTGTCAAGTGTGCCAGTACAAAAGAAAACTGTTATACAGAAGAATATTCAAAACTAAATTCTTAATCTTAACTCTTCTTTGTATTTTGCCGTGTGTGTGTGTGTGTGTGTGTGTGTGTGTGTGTGTGTGTTTCCAGGGTGGTTACGCTGCCTACAGATATGCCCAGCCTACTGCTGCCACAGCTGCTGCATACAGTGACAGGTAAGATATAGGAATACTCATTATTATTATGTTTTAAATTCAAGGTAAGATATCATCACTCATAAATGGGAACACTATAGTTTAATTTCAACAAGGCTACACTGGCTCTAGTCACACAGCAGTTACCATTGGAGTGCAACTTATTTATTTAAATTAAAAGTTAGATAAAAAACTCAGAAAAGGAAAAGTCCGAGAAACGCTTCACAAATAAATTAAGTCAACTACATCGGAGCTACAGCAAAACGTTATTTAACAACTAGTTTAATTACATATTAACTGCAACAGCACAACGTAAAAGGTGACACATTAACCTCTGAACCTCAAAACAGACATTACTGTCAGGTTTTCAAGTCTCCAATTGTCCTTGAACACATCATGTGTGTCGAACGCTTCTGTCATGAAAAGCAACCAAATCAAAGCTTAAAACAGTGATTTATTTTTCATCAAAATCACTTTATTCTACTTAGTCATTACAAATTCATCCCAAAATAAACTGTTTGCATGAACCAGATCTTGAGAAAAACATTAAATCCTGAGATCCTCAGCACAACTGAATCCATGATTGACAGGAAATCAGCTGAGACCAACAGTCACGTGACAACATCTCTGAGAAACTTGGACTAAAGTGCAGGAGAGGTTTCCATAGAGGTGGAGGAGCGAATTAGCATGGAGTTCAACTTTAGTGAACATGAACGTGAATATAGCCTCGCCAGTCGATGATCTTTCAACCTGCATTTGCGCATGTGTGACCGTGCCTTTAGATGGACATAATGTGTAACAAAATATACAGACAATAACACAAACCAGTAAGACATAACAAGCAGGTTTTGATTTGAAATATGATGACATATTGAACCAGGGTCCCAGAATTCCTGCTGTTTACATAGCTAAGCAACAAAAGGGGTTCACAAAGCTGGGACGGGAGTTTTAAAATCCCTACGAGTTGTGAAATAGATCTTAATCTCAAGAAAAGACAACTATAACTAGCTCCAGGCTCTTTAGCTACGCCTCACAATTAAACAACGGTCTGCATCATAGGGCTCTATACTCTAATTGCTAAGTGCACATGTTGTGTTGAAACAGGTTGAAAACAACATCAAGGTGTTTGTTTTGTTCATGGGGTTAGGTACAAACACTGGTTATTTAGGGAGCCGTTCACATGTATGTCTACAGTTACAGCAGGATAACCCAGTTAGAGTTCCACCTCATAATAGGAGTACCAAGTGCAACAGCACCACAATGTACAGGCTCAAAACTCATGGAGACCATGGAGTAGAATCATTGAGAAACTCTCCAAGAAAAAGAACACAAGAATCCTCATATAGTTTGATACCACTTCTTTGGATTGCACTGCAGGATTTCCTTTCTATGAGCTTTCACCGTATAAAAGATGAATGAACACATAGAGACATGTGGTTGTGAAAATATGCTACATGAACATTTGGAAAGGGCCTGGGGTTGAAATAGTGGTTTATCTCCCATATGTCCCGTCCCAATTTACTAATAATAGATTTATTCATAACACAATGAATAATTTGTGTTAAATTAGTAAGCACTGGTGTGAAATTTGAGTTTATAATTGCATAGAACATTCATTATTCATCTTCTGCCTCACTTCAGTTTTTTTTTGCAGGCTTGGTTAGAATTAATAACCTGGGATGGCAGAAATACCATCCATCTGATTCGGGAGGCGTGATGTAAAATGATTACAGAGAGGGCTGGGGCTCTAGACAATAGAGCAGCTAATATGTTAGCAGACGAACGAGGTACATAGTAGTTTCACTTGAAAATAAGCTATCATGCTTATTAGGGATGACACTGGCTTTATTAGCCAAGGGGGGCTTAAAGAGGAGCCAAGATGGAGAAGATTTATTCCACTGCCTCACTACTTTTATTCAGAAGAGACATGGAAAACTGGTACATGAGCATAAAAAAAGAAGGTTATACCACCGATCGTCTCTCCTTAAAACCGTTTATGTCACACAATTAAGGACATAAATCTAAATGACATGAAGAATACTAAGTCATAAGCAATAACTAGAGGCATTTCCTGAAGTTACGTTGGGGTTACAGCTGCAGCAGAGCTCACCTCCGACCATCAATCAATGAGCATGTGATGATCATTGTATGAAGTTGCTCACAAACCTTAAAACAGGCTAAATAGCTCTGCAGAGCTGTTTAGCCTGTTTAGCCAATTATTTTAGAAGTTGCTAATAAATCAGATTCTGCCGCCCCCAAGTAGCAAAACAATCAATGAATGGAGCTTGAGGCCCTCAGCACAGTTTTGATGTTCCACCCAGGTATGGTGTGGCATTGAGGGCTTGCTTGTGTACCTGTGTGGCTCTGATGTACCCATCTGTGTGGGGCCACACTGGCACCATGTTGGTCATGTTCATGCGACATGGGTCACAGATGGGAAGCACCAACAGCTGCTTTCTGGCCTGACTAGACCCAGTCTGGCTCATGTGATGTACAAACCAATACAAATGCAATGCAGTGACTCAGATGCATGCAGATATGCTCATGCAAGCACATTATGAGCATTCACAAATTACTACACACATGCACATGGGCAAGTACAGACGTATTGGCCCTTAACTAGAGCAGAGATTTTCCAGTATCCTGAAATTAAAGTTACTGTGAGGGACTTTTAACTGGTTATGAAACATTCTCAAATTAATTTGATGCTTCTATATGACCTACATCATTAAACAAGACCATCAGCGAGAAGATTGGTTATTTCTATATAGTTATTCTAAAAGCTTGTCATCGGTGACACCGGCTTCATGGACCTGCGGTCAGAAAGAGACCCAGGCCGTATTGCTGGGCCCGCTGGAGAGAAGGGAGGCATGGAAAAACCAGAACCAGGACTGCGTGGAGCAAATTGTCAGTCCCCTGCTGCAGTAAAATTAGTTGTTTCCTTCAGGGATTCTGGTGCTCTGAAAAACTACCACTTTCGTCCAAAGGGACTGCCAAAATCATCAAAAAATTATAGTTGCTTTCAATACTACATTTCAATTTTTTTTCTTCTTTTTTTGTAATAAGGTCACTTCAATCAGGAGAGACTTCATTAGAATTTAACAATAATTCATTACACATGCATACAGTTTGAACAGTGCAAAGTCTGAAGTAGGATAATAGAAGGTTAGTAATGCTGAGGTCAAATAAGGCAGAATCCCCCTGGAGTCCAGTCACTGGTGGTGGTGGTGAAGGTTGTTGCTGCAGTCAGCTGATGAATGAGGAGCATGACTGTGATGCTGACTGGAGGTGACTGGGGTGAAGGAGGGTCGCATCTGATTTAAGATGAAATGACAACTGACAGCAGCAGAGAGGAAAACATATTTTGAAGTTTGACAGCAACGATGTGATTGGCTTAAGGAAACAGTGCAGAACCTGGTTGGTTCATTTAAAGTGAACGCCCACAATCAGCTGATAAAGTAATCACAGGGAGAGAGAGAGACTGAGAGATTATGAATGAAAAAGGAGTGTAAAGAGAGTTTTCCTGACTGAACTTCCGCTTAAGCTTAATTTATTTTGTAACCATAATTAAATTTGCTTTTAAATGCAATGCTTTTGCAAGTATAGTTGTGTTCTTCTGCAATTCATAGTTAACAGCAGGGACACAATTTACCTTAGAAGCAATGAACGAGTTAGTCTTGCAAAACCAGACAACCGGACATCTCTGCCTACCGATCATCCGGGGATTTCTAAGTGCGAAGTTGTTGCCAAAGAAACCTACAGCCCCTCAGATGTCATGGATTCAGACAGGCCACGTTAATCTACGTGCCTGGAGATGTACAGGGCTGCCACGTGGGATAACATGCTGTTATTGGTCAACTAGAGAGAGCCAGGAGGGAGCTGGAGATTCTGGAATTGTTTACTGGCAGGATTAGAGCTTTGGGATTAACTTTATTCTTCACACGTTAAACGGCAGCAATAGTGAGGGAACAGTCTGTGTGTGTTAGCATGTTAGCGTTGATCCATCCATTAGCTTCTGTTTATCCATGGCCGGGTCGCGGGGGCAGCAGGCTTAGGAGGGTGTTTCAGGCATCCCTCACCCCAGCAATGCTTTCCAACTCCTGCTGGGGAACCCTGAGGCGTTCCCAGATGAGATATGTAATCTCTTCAGCCGGTTTTAGGTCTACCCTAGGGCCTCTTACCAGTTGGACATGCCTGGAAAACCTCTAACGCAGGGGTTCTTAACCTTTTTGACCTCGGGGCCCAACTTTTCAAGTACAAAGTGTCCCGGGGCCCATTCAAATATTAACACTATTAGTTTAACTAATTGATCTCACTCTTGGTTTGACTTGTATTCAATAACTATATTGTTACCTGTTCAACTCCACCCCTATTTTGGAGCAAAACCGCCTAAAATGACATACCCAAATTAAAATAAATGGCTGTAGCTTCTGAACCACTCTGACTATATGCATCAAAAGTGTCAGAAAACCTGTAGGTCATACAGAAACAGAGCAGTGGGCCTTTGGAGTCAGTACAAATTGAAGATTTTTGTCCGCATAAAATAAAAAAGTATCTTTCAGTATAAATAACTGCCTGTGGCTGTATCTATACAGGTAAAGGACAGTATAGGGCTGTAACTACACTATCAGTGAACAACTGCCTCAAATTTGAAGAAGATTGGACAAAGTATGACCATTCTACAGTGTTTCTTCCATGAAGAGATCCAGGCGGAGCTCTCAAAGGATATTTGGAGACCCAAATGGACACATGGTAACCAAATGATATTCTGACACACTAAAGGTGTTTCTCCCTTTATATTTTGATATTATAGTATTTTCCTTTTATTTTTAGCCTTTGCAAAAACTATGTATATATGGTCGAAGACGTGGTGTGTGAGTAGCGGACTTGCTGTGCGTAATGGCTGCGACAGAGCACACGATCAAGTATGCGGGCAGCTCATCTACGCAAGGTTATACGTTGGTTGACGGCTTATAGAAGAGGAAGATAAGGTTTGTACTATAAGTACTAGCATTTTCTGA